AAACTAAAAAGAAAGCTATCATGTTAGTGCCTTAAAGCATGGCAGGATTCTGTTGCTAAGATGATGCATGGCAATTCTGGCATAAATAGTTATTAAAGCAGACCCTACCCGAAGGAGTCCCAGTCCTTTCTCTCCTGTATAGGAACAAATCAGTTATTCTTAGGAGGCAGTGTTGTCTCTCGATGCTGTTGTGTTGCTTTTTGAAAACGTTTTGTAAGTTACTCCTAAGTGGGATAATTGCTTTCAGCATTTGCAAGTTAAATGAAGAAAGCTCTAATTAGATTTTATAAAGTGGCTTAGCATGTTGAGAAGGCTTTTCATAAAGTATACTGTGTACTCGCTTGGCGTTGCACAACTGAATTCTGTGAGGCACTGACAAAACTAAAAGATCCTGTTTGGCCTTGGTTTCTAGGTTTCTTCTACGATCAAAACCTTGTCTTAGGTACTCCTAGCTATATGTACTCTATTCTTTTCCCTACATCCTTTGGGTCGTTTATTTCTATTCTAGAGTCTGGAGCAGTTGCAGTCAAGACTAAGCTGCTTGAGGACTGTATTGTGAAAGTAGGGAACAGAAGCTTGGTATTCTGCATCACTTGAAAATGGTGCCATGGCACACAGTGTTTGATCTGTCTTGATTGTTATTATGCTGTGCTAATTGTGCAGTGGTACTGGGTGGTAGAGAGCCACTTTATTCAGGTTAGTCTTAGCTCTGTGGGGGCTCTGGTTGAGTTGTACAGAAGCCAAAGTGCCCAAGTGCTTAAGCTTAGTAATCTTTAGTATTGCTTGGTGTCCTGTAGATCTGAAATGCGATACGCTAATGCTTTATTATTGCCACCGCAGCATTGGCATGAACCGAGGAACTGGCCGAAGCAGCTTACCACATTGTTAGCCATCTGAATAAGAATTTAGCCTGGTCAAAAGCTTCTTTCATGTGTGGTTTCTGCAGTGTGCATGCCAGAAGCTTCATGGTGAGAACTGGAAAGTGTTCCCAAAGCCAGTGTTTATTCAGATCATTTGGGCACTGTTGCTTGATATGACTTACCAGAGCCTATTTTAACTGGCTGTGCTCTGTTTGGAGAGTAATGCCTCTGCTAACTCAGTTGATTGGTTCATAGAATTGTGGAATCATTAAGGTGGAAGAAAACCTTTAAGACCATCTAGTCCAACCATCGACTCATTGCCATGTCACGAAGTGCAACATGTACTGACGAAGCTTCATTTGCAAAAACATCTATCACGTGTGCTAGGAACCTTGGAGATAACAGTTCAGTGAAACTAGACCTACAGGAAGTACTGCTTAATGAAACGTCCCGCATTGATCTACAATCGCTTGTTATTACCACAAGACCCAGTAAATGCAGGCTAGCTGGAATTTTCTTTGTCTTCTACTCTGCTCAATAAGACTTGACTTTGCTTAATCTTCTTTTAGGTTTATCAGTGTGCAGGTGAAATTCTTTATTATCCCCAGATTTTTAGGAACGGTGGGTAGTGTGTTATGTGGACTAGCAAGTACCAAAATTAATACTTCGTATGCTGTCAGTTTGTTTTTGATGGTATGGTCCAGATTTTAATGAGACTGTAGAGATTTCTAGTGCAGTGCACTCACCTTATTGATAGACATATAAATAGACATTAACTAATGGATTGTGGACCAGTCTACATTTAAGCTGGAGGAGAAAAAAGGGTTGTTCTGCTCTCTGTTTGATGTCTTTTACTATAGGTTGAAGAGAATCATGGCTATTACAGTCAGTTTTTTTCACTTATTACTTAACAGGGCAAATTCTTTGATACTCCTGGAATCAGTTCTTAATTGTTTGAAGTTGGTGGCTGGTTTCTCCATGACCAGTTGGGGGTAGTGTGTTCTTTGTCTGAGCAATAGGCTTGCTATTGTAGCTGTGTGAAGGAGACTTTGCATTAACATTTATAATTGCCCACGGACTCTTGATTCATTTAACCACACATGCCATGAAGTTTTAGTCATTTTTCAGTGTCTGCCCATATCTGTCTCTATAAATGGACTTTGTGTCTCCCACTGACGTATGTTCATGCTACAAGGGCTTTTTTAAGCAAAAGGATAGCCCTCATATAAACCAATGTGTAATGGACTTATTTACTCCTGTCAGTAATCCCGCAGAATACATGCTTGGTTCCACATGATTTCTTTGGTGGTAAAGAGGAATAACTTCAGTTTTCTTTGTGAAAAGATGATGAACTGGAGGAAACTTTCTGTGTGACAAGATACAATCCGTTCTATGGCAGGTTCTACAAGTTCAAGTCAAAGATAAAATTCTTGTGATAAAATAAATTATTATATATGTGATAAAATTCTTCTTTTCAGTGGTGAATGGTGACAGGACAAGGGGAAACGGCCAGAAACTGCAGCATAGGAAGTTCTGCACAAATGTGCACAAGAACTTCTTTACAGTGAGGTGACGGAGCACTGGAACAGGCTGCCCAGGGAGGTGGTGGAGTCTCCTTCTCTGGAGATGTTCAAGACCTGCCTGGATGCCTACCTGTGCTACCTGGTGTAGGGAACCTGCTTTGGCAGGGGGGTTGGACTCGATGATCTCAGGAGGTCCCTTCCAACCCCTACAATTCTGTGATTCTGTGAGCTTGAGGTGAGGTTTTTCTGCCTGCGGTCTGTAGATTAAATGGTCAAACTTAATGCCTTTAAAAAGTCATGCATGACTAATACACAGCTCTTATGTTTACGAACGATGCATTTTTCTTGAACTTGTTTTTCTTGAAGCTTGTTTTCTGTAGGACCTGTGCTGTTAACTCCACTGGCTTAAAACTAGTGTTGCATATGCTGAGTGCCTGAGCCTCCTGCTCGTACTCAAATTTCATTTGAAGATGCATCTCTTCTGCAGTGCAAAGCAGGTCAAGAAATTATTAAGTTTGGAGGTTTATTCTTGAAAGTTCCTGAGATATTATTTAAGCAAATCTGATATTATCTACTGTAGCCCAGAAAGACCTGATAGTGCTGTGAGAGTGAGATATTTAAATCAGCGGGTTCATTTAAAAAGAAAATTGCAGTGACATGACAAATGGGAAGGGGTCAGAAAGGACTGATTTCAGACGTGGGGCTTACTATTCCATCTAGTAGTAGCTGTACCATGGCAACAGCATGCTCTTTTGCAGAGGAACAGTGGAACATCCTCCAGGGTCTTCCATAACAAGAGATGGACTTCTATAGGGGGTTGTTTTCTTTTGAATCAGAGACAAGTTTTGTGAATATACGAATTGACGTCTCTCATGCAAAGAAATTATCTCGTGTGTTCTGAATAGGGTTCTTTGGAATATGGTAATCTGTTTTTTCTGGGATCAAGATCAAGTATGTTGCTACCTTCTTTCACCTTCTTCCATGTGACCAAAGGCAGTGAGTGAACTTCTGCTGTGTTTCAGGATTTCACGCTATTGTTTCATTTCTGTGAGAAAAGAAAATTTTCTTAATCACTATGCAGTAGCTAATTCTCAAATTTGTAATTATGGCTGACATGCTTCATATTTACCAGATATGAGCAATTTAGTTCACATCTTTGTATTGTTTAGTTAACTCAAACAGTAGTTTGCAGCAACTATTTTTAGTGAAGAATTCTTTTTATCAAACTTAGTGAAGAATATTCCATCACTATACTTTAATTAGCTTTGTTTTCAGTGAAATGATACAATTAGATTTTTATTTTTTTTTTTAAGTAAGGTGGTATTTAGTAGCATGTGGAGCAAATTTTGTTATTTGGTATGGCATGGTTAGATTTCCTTAACTGTAAGACTTGTAATAAGTGGTGATTTATCATGCATCTTTTGAGTATTTGGTTAGTCTTTCTTTTTCTCTAGATTTTCTTTACGTTTTGTCTTTCATAGTTTGGTCATGTTTATGTGCATCTTACAGTTTTTATTTGACAGTGGAAATTTTCCCACTTCTCTTGTTGCTTTCCAGGTTGCCTTTTCAGATTCCCAATACTGACCTTTGAAACTGTGGACATTTTCTATGTGATTTCTATTTCTTATCTTCCAGACTCTTGAGACTCTTCTCAAAGCTAGCTGCACAACTTTGTTCTGTCATTCTCATTTTAATGCTTTCCAAAGCGCAAAGAAAGGTGAAATAAATACAGGATTTATCTGTAAGCATAATTACTTCTGTCTGATCTCTTGCAAATAAGGCTTTCCCCACCTTGATTTCTGGTATTTTGGAGTACAGCAACAGAACTTCTGTGCTTCAAGATGAGAATAGGAAGGCTTTCAAAACTCGGCTTGACTGAAGTAGTGGTAGACTGTCCAGTACTGCATAGTACTGTCTAAATGTCATTGAATAAATTACTCTGTGTTTTGAAGTTGAGCACTTTGGATGGATAAGTGCATGATAATTTGACAGTGTCTTTTCTCTGAAGACCATAACTCAAGGCAGTTTTGCTTACTGTAAGAAACATTCCTGTAGTTGGAGCTGGAATAACAATATCTGTTTTGTGAAGGATGGAGTGCTTTTGTTGCCTTCGAAGACCCATTACAGGATATGGTTGCTTGTGGGAATGTCTGGTTATGATCTGTTAGAAAACAGTCTATTAATAAAACAGAGCCTCGTGTAATAGAGCACGTCTTAATCTTTTATCTGTGTAGTTATTTATAGGCTGTGACATCTTAATTTGCTCTCATGTACATTAGCTTCTGTTATTTTAAAGATCAAGTAGCTTTCACATGCCTCTGTGCATCAGTTCTGGAGGGAGTGGTCTATTTCCTAAGGAATCTTACAAAAAGGCATTATGTTAGAAGTGTTATTGCTTGGTTTTGCTGGTGTTTTTCTAATGCACTAAGAAGTTACAGAATGTCCTGTTATATTGATATATGTTAATTCTGTATTTGGCTGACACAAATTTTCCTGAGCATTCAAAGGATTTCTACTTCCTGACGATATTTATTTGTCCTGAACAGGTAGTGATCTATCTGGAGCAGTGTTAACTGTGCTGTATACTTCATTTTTGTGGTTATTTTTTTTTTATTAGAATGGTCCCAGTGCCAGATCTTGTCACAAGATGTGCATTGATATTCAACGAAGACAGATCTACACGCTGGGTCGCTACCTGGATTCCTCTGTGAGGAACAGCAAATCTCTGAAAAGTGACTTCTATCGCTACGACATTGATACAAATACATGGATGCTACTGAGTGAAGACACTGCAGCTGATGGGGGTCCAAAGTTGGTGTTCGATCATCAGGTCAGCTACACTGATGTTTTAGCACAAGTTCCTATCTGTATACCTTTATCTCAGTGTTTGTGAATTATGATTTTGCAATTTAGAATTGCTATACCAGATAACATTGCAATGACAGGGGAAGTTGTGATCTGCACTCAGTTGATTTCTAATAGCATTGTTGTCTAAAGCTGTTGATTACTGGTATTCCAATAAAATTGAGTCAAATCATAAAAATATTTTTAAACTAATTCATTTTATTTATTAAGACACGTTTTATTAAAGCTGAAAGCACAGTTCATCTGTTTTTAATCAGACTTGCTGAGCTGGGTTTGCAGATCAGCCTACTGAGTAGACATTGAGGTACAATTTGTGAAGCTGTGTGCTGCCTTCAGAAGAAAACTGTAAGCAAGACACTGAAATGAGGCCAACAGGATCAGGATTCTTAAAAAAATCGATTATCTTTAATTCTGTGAAATGTTCTTGCTGTACAGAGATTGAAATCTTACAGGAGTAGCTACCAGTCTTTTAAAAAGCTGCACCTCTCCATATATTCAAATTACTCTATTTTTAATCGTGTTGTATATTCAATGGCTTTTGTGTCCTTGAAAATATATTTGGTTCTTAGTTGTTTTTATAAAACATGGCCAAGAGATAATACATCAGTATTTGTTTTTAAAGTGTCCCAAGAACTGGTGCTGTTTTGTAACCAAAGCTGTTGTCTGCCAGCAAGATATGCATTTTTGCTGACACTATAAATTAGATGTGTTGCCTGCAGAACAAAAGCCAATCAGTCTTTCTGTTCTATTAATAACAAACATCGGTATTCCAGGTGTTGAGCAAAAGCAAATGGTCAGCTGGCAAGAGCTACTTTGGGTACCTTGTTTGCCTCCTTCTGAAACTTTCTTTTTTCCCTGCTATCTCCAAGGAAAGAATGTCCTCCCTGAATTCTTTCTCAGTCTACAGCTTTCTCTTCTCTCCCTCACTGTGTGCTGTGATACCAGATTTTGTTTAACCTTCACAAAAATGTGCTGCCTGGGAAAAGTTGTGTGTAGGCTTTTCTGAGTAGCATCTGTCTTGTTGTGTTCTTCTGTCTTTCTTTTCCCCTGGTGTTTTGTAGACATCTCCATTGCGCTATGTCTGAGAACATCACCTGCAATCAGGGAGTTCTATTTGATTTGTACTGATGTATCTTGTGTGTGCCATAACTCGAATTCTGGCTTTGGGGATAAACTTCTTTCTACTGCAGACTCTTCAAGGATTCCTGGCCAGGTTACAGCTCTATTTTAGGTTGAAGTAGTGAAAGCAACAATAAATATGTGATTGAGATGGAAGCTGAGTAACAGATCACTGGTTGTTTTTTGGATCTGTAGGGTTGCATTCAGTAAACTAGCAGTGACTTTGTTTACTTTTTGGCAAAATTGTCTATGGATTCTGGATAAAAATTATATATTTTTTCCCTAAAATCAGCAATTAGGAGATGAGTGTAGCCCTTTTTGATCATTAAATTGTTAAGCTGACATTAGATTTGAGCTCTAAACTAAGGAGCTGTCTTCTGAGTTTAATACCTGTCAACCACGATGCCTGTGCTCTTGTCTGTTCACGAGACTTTGAGATGTGCAGAGTACTGTCTAACTTGCTAGATATCACTTGCAGGGGAGGGATGCATAATCATAAATCTGAACGTGTTCAGATCTTAATGTGCTTTCTTAAAAACTTCTCTTGTTCTTACAGATGTGCATGGATTCTGAAAAACACATGATATATACCTTTGGAGGCAGAATTTTGACCTGTAATGGCAGTGTTGACGACAGCAGAGCCAGCGAACCACAGTTCAGCGGATTGTTTGCTTTTGACTGCCAATGTCAGACATGGAAACTTCTGAGAGAGGATTCCTGTAATGCTGGACCTGAGGATATCCAGTCCCGCATAGGACACTGTATGTTATTCCATTCTGTAAGTATCCACACCATATCTTGATTCATGGTGTCTGACCTTAAAGAGAGCCTCTGGTTTTGATTGTCTTGCAGGCTCTTTGATCTTCCAAATGATGTGTTGTCTCACTTGATTTTTATGTTCAGTGATGTTCTAATGCTGTTTTGTAAGTGCAGGTGGTATTAAGTGAAGTCTCAGGCAAAGTTTTCATGACTTAAAATGAATAGAAATTAAAGTAAAAGCAAGGTGAATTCTAAATGGGTTCTAATTAAATAATAGCATTGAACTGCAGTCCACTGGTTGAATTTACTCATAAGTATTTTCCTTTCAGAGTTAGTAAAGAATCTTAGAGTCTTCTGTAATTACGTAAATTATCTATTAGACCAGGAATGGTAAAATTGACTAGTGCAGGGCTTACCTGGTATGCATTCAGAAGCACAGGGGCCCAGCTGCTGCCTGGTATCATGATTAGCTGTTAAGTTTGGTTCAGATGGCATTATGGGCTTTTAATCCAGATCCTGATGGGGAATGGCAGAATGCTTGATGATAGAGGTTGTGTTGCACTTTATTACTGGGTAGATAAATAGAAAATAAAAATCTTCTGTTACTTTTCCGCTTGTGCTCATCAGCTGTTTAAGTGCAGGACATACGATTTGCAGGATGAGGGTTGTAAGGCATTGTATATGCACTGGACTACCTTTTTGTACAGATACCTTCAGTAGAATAACACAGTACAGAGGGGAATTGTATCAACTGTGAAGCTTCCATAGGCAGATATGGTGTAGTGGCAGTTCTGCACCGAGCTTAGTGGCAGCAAACAAGTTTTCAAAGTTTTGCCGATGTTGAATTTTGATTTGGGGATGAGAGAAGGAATGGAACTGGAATTAATATTGTGGCATCCTGCACGTGTTCTGCAATGTACAATTGAAAACTGACCAGTTTGAAGAAGTTTTCCCTTTCAAATGAAAGATCAGAAGTTTCATAATGATTGCTATGCTTTTAGAGCTTGTAATGACTCTCTAAAATTTGGTTTTATAAAAAAAGAAAAGAAAATACTGCCACACAATTCTGCGTAAGTACCAGAGGATTTAAGTATATGTCTGTGGTAAACTGAAGAAGACAGATTTCAACAAGTAGAGTTGATGTCAATTTAGATACTTTGCTGTTTTCTCAATCTTTTGTAAGAAAAGCAGTCTGCCTCTTATGGGCCTTCTACTTGATGAGCTTGAAAGAAGTGATAAAGCTGGCTTTTCTGCATATTTGCCTGTTCTTAGTGTGTTGATATCTGGATAGTTACTCTTTATTTCTTTGTTCCTGGTTTAAGCTGTGAAATTATTATCTAGTAGGGTTGTTTTTTGGACACTGTATCACTTGGATTGGAGAAGACCACTAAGATCATCAACTCCAATCATCACTTAATGCTGCCAAGTCTGCCACTAAGCAGTGTGTCTCTTCATGCCATGTCTGCACATATCTGAAATACCTCCATGAATGGGAAGTTCTACCACTGCCCTGAGCAGCCTGTTATAATGCCTGACTACCCTTCCTATGAAGAAATTCTTCCTGACATCCAGTCTATATTTGCCCTGCTGCAACTTGAGGCTATTTCCTTGTGTACCTTGAGACTTCTCACTCTTCTGTATTGGACTTGAGAAGTGAATTGCCATTTCAAAATTCTGACCTTACAGTTCAATTACAGTTCAAACAGCAGGGCTATAACCATTACTATGTGGAATTTGTCTGGTTACTCTGGAGTAGATACTCTGTTGGATCCAGGTTTATAGCCTTACTTAGACTGAGAAAATAATGTCTTCTAAAATTGCATTTGTTTGGAGGTGGAGAAATGGGAAGCTCTCAGTGGTATAGCTCTTGAAACTGAAAATACGTGTATTCAAGAATGGAAAAGATTAAGAATGAAATCAAGAATTATATAGCTTTTACAAAGTCTGTGAATAATAAACTGTTGTGCATAATTCTGTGAATCTTTGTGGATATGGAAGTAATAGATATTACCAAATTAAAAGCATGATTTTAAATGTACAAGAAAAATCTGTTACTCTTTCATTCATTAATGTTTCTGTGAAACAGAAATAAAGAACTTGGTTAAGGAATACCTTTTTCTTTCTTTCTAGAAAAATCGCTGCTTATACGTGTTTGGTGGCCAGAGATCAAAAACTTACTTGAATGATTTCTTCAGCTACGATGTAGACAGCGACCATGTGGATATCATATCAGATGGTACTAAGAAAGATTCAGGGATGGGTAAGAGTATGACTGCAAAGTAATGCCTTCACATTGGTGCGAATGAGAAATATATTGCTAAGTAGGTGAATGGCCAACTGCAGAGTCCTGTGGTATCAGGTTTGCATCCTTAACCAGCCCTGTGTTCCCAAGTGAACTCCACAGTATATAGGTTAAACTTATGCCAGCTCTTTTGTCCTTCTTGTCATTCGATATCTCCACCTTTTAGCACAATACAAATAATTGATGCATGAAACCATATGCCCATCAAAAAAAAAAAAAAAAAAAAACACAGAAAGACAAAAAAAAAAAAAGCAAAATTAAACACAGAACATTTTTGCAATTTCAGCAGAGATGAGAAAAAAACTTTAAAATAATTGTCTGTGGAAACAGGGAAGGAGAGAACGGCTTTTTAACTTCTACAAAGTGAAAGGTGCTGTGAAACAGTAATCATTAGCTTGGTTTGAGATGCAGAAAGGCAGGTAGGATGTCTGGAGAAATGGAGCAGAGGGGCAGAGGTTATTTTGCCTGATCAGAGCTGATGAGAAAATGAGGCTTCTGCTGCGTGTTTTGCTGATATACTTTCTCTGAATTGAGGAAGGGGAGCTAAATGTGGTAGCAGTATAGAGTAAAGCTTCAGTCCTGCTTGGTTCATGCCACCTGGAACTACATACAGAAGTCCTGTATACTAGAATCCTGTAAAAACACCCAGAGGACATGGCCATATAGAATTGATTTCAAGCTTTTTCTCCTCAAACGTGACACAAAGGGAGAAGAATGGTCATTTTGGAAAAAAAGATTTCTGCTTGTATGAAGCACATCGTTTTCTTCTCTTGCTGATATCCTGATTTTTAACTATGGCTTGGAAGTTGAAATTTATGTTGCACTGTTTACTATGATGAGAGCATTTATTAATGCTTCTGGTATTATGTGTAATGTAATAACAAGCTTGATCTTGTTTACTGTTCTTCCAGCAACCAAAATCTTAAGAAGCTGATTTTACCTGAAATCTAAGCTTCCCTCCTTATTTTGTCAGGCTTTATTTTACTGAACTTCTGAAGTGAATTATTGATAGTTATGAGTTCGTGTTTGCTCATTCAATTTAGATATGTCAGTGAGGGAGAAGAGTACCCAAACACTTATTCTCTGGAGTGATTTATTTACTTCATTGCTTCCAAGAAAGAAACAGCTTGTATTGTTGTCAGTCTTATTAAATAAGGTGCCTGCTTGTTGCCCGATGCTGCTGTGTACACAACCACAGACTGTGGTCCTTAGAGCTTTCAAAGTTTTGTATTGTTCTTTTTTTTTTTCTTATGGTTTTACTAGCATTCTTCCATTTTGCTTTTTTAAAGCTGCATTTCTTAATATCCAGAAGCTTTAAAATATGTGGCTGTGAACTATCTCCGATGTTAACTTCATATTTAAAGTTATTGAGATTGTCTTCAAGCTAGTAAAGACGTTGAACACCACTTCTCAGTGAATATATTATCTGCAGGGTTCAGTTACGCAAATGGGAATCAAGTATTTAACCTTCCTTCCCATTCCCACAGGTCCCTGAGTGGTGAATGGTAGGCATGGTAAGAAATGAGTCATTGAAAATAATTCACAAGATTTTCAGTTCACTGTTCTTGCATGTGTGAAAAGTAAACAGATTCCAATGTTTCCTTCACTTTTGTAATAAAATGCTAAAATTCAGTGTGTCTTAACAGGAGCAGAGCAAAATGCCTGATACATGCAGACAGTAAATATTGTGATAGCATTATTTTTGCCCCAAAAAAGCAAGTCTCTGTGTTCTTGTTAGGTGGTGATATGTTGGTTTGATCTGCGTGAACTAAGTGATTCAGTGATTTGTTGCTGTGGAGTTTTATGCTGCTTAGTGTGATGAGTCAAGTTGAAGGTGCCTGACCTAAATGTTCCTATAAAGTCCCATGATTACATTTTGTTCCTGGCTCGCATATGGCATTCAGTGCTATTCTTAGTTGAGCTATTTTGATTTTTACTTTATCTAAAAACTGAATTGTACATTTGTTTAAAATTTTCAGTGCAGCAGTGAGAAGACTGGAAAAAAATTAATGTAGAAAAACTGGAAGGCATATCAGTAATATGAAGTGGATACTGTATCAGAAAATTATGGTGATGTTTTGGTTTTGTTGCTATCTCATCTTGTGGATGAGTTGTTGATGCTGTTTAGTCATTCTTTACTCTTAGTTGTACTTTAAGCGTTGGTTGTGGAAAATCAGTTCCTTGTGTTGATAATGTGCTTGAGATAAAGGACTGCAAGCTGTAGCAAATTTAGGCATACTTTATTTTATTTATTTTTAAAATACTCAAATTTGACCAAGGTACAGCTGCTGAAAGATTGGCTTGTAAATAGAGCTCTCCAGGATTTGCGTACTGAAACTCTCTTGTTACTGAGTCTGCTTTGTGCATAGCTAAGTCTCACGACTCTTTTTGTCTTCCAGTTGCACTTGCCTCCTCTGCAGGGTGAGCACTGTTGCTTTCTCCACCTCAGTGCATCCAAAACACTAGTGCTTTCTCCCTATTGTCACAGGAGGGCACCAAAATAAAGTCATTCATATTGGTTATCTTTCTCCTGTGTGATAAGTGTTATGAGCAAGAAATTCATTAGCTCAGCTAGAGAAATGGTCAAAACGGGACTGAGGAAAGGAGATTTCAATCGTCATAATGAGTCTGATAAGAACAAAGGCAGTAGTGGTGAAATTGGAGGACATGTAGTGTGATTGAAGAGCAGAGCCTGTGATTGAAGAAGGGGCATGAATGTGCATGTTGGTGGATGAGCCCTTTTAGAGCAGTCAGAGACTTATTCATAGGGGGGAAAAGAAAAACCAAAAATAACAAAAATATCACAAGCCATGCGTTTGTCTGAGGCATACATATGGATTAGAGATGTCACTGATATCACATGTCTTTAGAAGTTTATATTGACAGCTTGCCTGACTTGCTCAGCACACAGCGTATGACTAATCGTGGGCAGTCATTTCAGGTCTAATGTAGCTGATGGGAGCACTTGTGGTCAAGGTTCCTGTGATAATCCTGTTTGGCCCTGACTCAGGTGGTGTGTCAGAGGGAGAATTTCCTGCTGCAGGAGAGCACAGATCGTTCTGTATCCACTCAGTAACTAACCAAATCAAACAAGAGCGAGCCCTGTGTGTTCTTGTATTTCCTTTTAATTGCGAAGTAGTACTTAAGGACAAACTGTCTATATGTATATATATTTTTAATTCCCTCAAGCTTTCCCAGCCCTGCTTGGGCAGCTGCTCATTGGATATAGGACGTCAGGCGTGTTCCAGAGCTGAGTTTTCATGGATAAGGACCACGGACAGAGACGGCACTGCCCGATCTGGGAAACCTTCATGTAGAGCAAAACGCTGTTGGAAAAACATGAATCAAAATTAAAAGCGTAGTTTGGAGCCAGCTTGGACAATTGATGTGCATATCTCATTTTGATTGTCTGTTTGACACCTGATGTGTTTTGCCCTGTGTTCATTTTAAGGTCTGTCCCGCCAGTGGCCAGCGTATCTTTTAATATGGAAGTACTTTTTTGGTGATGTACGTTATCTTTTCTTCATTCTTGTGAGGTGCTTATCTGAACCAATCTAAAAACACTTGGTTTTGTCTTTGAACGTGAGGAGACTTGGCAGTCAACAAATCTTAAGAGCTCTACAGGAAAGACTGAGCAGAATTCCATTTGAATTTGCTAAATGATCGGCTTTCTCCAAAATTTCTCATTCCTTGGGAGAGAGCTTATTCACTGAACATCAGGGTTGCTCATTTGTTATTTTTCTTGAATATATCAACCAAACAGTTCACATGGTCGCCTTGCTGCTCCCTGGCTGGCTTCCAAACACAGTCTCATCATGAAAAATCCAAGAGAATAATTATTATCTTGCTGTGTCAACAGCTGGCTTGAATACTGTCTCTGTCACTTTGCTCCATTAAAGTTCAGGAGGTGCTGCTTCAGCTTTATGAATTACAAGGAGGAATATGTAGCAACTTGCTGACATACTGCTTTTTTTTTTTCCCCTCAAATTTTTCTTTTAGGAATATGCTAGGTTCTGGTGAACAGCAGTAGTGTGATGTAGTTCTCTCTGCTCTTTTAATCATGGGGTATCATGAGGAGGAGGATGCTTGCAGCTTGCTTGTAGCAAGATTAGCGGTAGCAAGTTGTGAAGGAATTGTAATTTAGGTGGCACGAAAGTGCTGTATCAGTGAACTTGCTTCCCTTAGTGAATCCTTCAGAAGTGATTGGCAACTAGAGGTTCCATATTACATTTGCTAGTTCTGTGTGTTCAGAACATGTTTAAAAACTTGCTATAATTTCTTACCCAGTAAGAGATGGGATTTAATTTCCAAACCTCTGTCTAGTATTATGAAATCCTCCTCTGTGTGAATTCCAGCTTATTGCTTGGCAAACTCTGCCTCTGTGTGAGAGCTCTGTTTTTCCTCTTGCTTAGATACTGGCAGCAGTCAACATTGTGCTCGAAACAACTGTAGCTGTTTGTACATGCAAGCCAAAAAATATTCAGCTTGCTGAAATGATCATGGTAATTTAAAAAAAAAAGTCTTTAAGTAGGGATTATAGTAGTAGGAACATATCTGTTGCATGATTAGGTGTCGCTTTTCTGGAAGACTGAATTGACACTGTGCATGGTTACTCAGCATTTTAGCAGAGTTTTCTCAGGAATTACATCGTTTGCTCTGAAAGTAAGAGTTCCTGCTTATTTCCATGGACACTACAGTAGATGCATAGAGCACGGTAACACTATCTGATGGAGCAAATTTTTGACTACAAAGCACGGTTTTTCAGCATGGTCACTACCACCATTAGCTGTACATTTTCACTTGCACCCACTGTTTCACAGTTGCTATGACAGTCATTGCTGAGGCACACCACTCACTGTGCTTGTATTCACTGCTTGGTTTCCAGAAACATTTAGCAAGCATTGATGAATGTCAATGGATGCGATTTTTTTTCATATGGAAGAATTCAGTGACACACCTTTGCTTCATATGCGCTTCCGTGTCAGATGCCATTCTCTCAGCTGCCCCTCCACTGCCATCTGTCATGTGCCAACAAAGTGTAACAGTGTTTGCAGGAAGGTTCAACCTCTGCTGACTTACTGCCAACGTCATGGGCTGACATACTGAAAGAAGAGGTATTACTTTCAGAGCAGACCTCATATTGGTTTTTGAATGCAGCCAGTTACGTAAACTTAAGGCCTGGTTAGCTGTTTAGTGTTTCAAATATGGAGGCTGTAAGCTTTTTGTTATTACTAGATAAAACTAAAATGCCAAGTTTTGGAGAGAGGATTCAGATCCCTTGCTTTCAATTAGTTATTCTCTGTCTGTACTGGGATAATTAATGAGATTATGGGAAAAGGACGCAGTAGCACATGAAAAATACTCACTTTCTTCTGGGCGTGCTTTTGATTTTGCATTCTGTTTAACAGTTTCTTTGCACAGCTTTTCCTCTTCAATCTGTGATGAATCTGTCATAGAAGCCAAGCTGATATCACTATGCAACGGGCCAGTATCGTGTTCAAAACAACCAGCCCTACATCCTCAGCTGCTGTTTTGTCCTTCAGGCTGTCTGCCTGCAGCTGATCTGAGTGATAGTGGGGCCTGAGAGGAACTCCAGACTGCATGAAATCAGTGGAGGTTTGCTCCAGAGCTGATTTACATCTACTTTTTGCAGGGAAGCACAAAAGTGAGGGAACTTTCGTGCAGCTCTTACTGCTTTATGTACTTCTTGGATCCAGTACATTGCAAATATTAGCTCTCAGAGTCCACTGGCGTTACTGTCTGATTCTCATCCCATGTTGTTTATGGCTTTTTACTGACTCTTAAAAATATATAATTACTGTAATAATAAACAAACAAAAAAATTGCACCAACACCAAAAACAACAAAAAAGATCCTAAGCAATCTGTTACTGACATAAATTCAATTTAACATCTTGCATGCAAGATTTAATTTCCGTCCCAAAGTATGGTTTATTAGTTAAATATCACAAGGGTTTACAGCCGTTGTCCCTCTATAATATGCTGACCTCAATCATTTGAATTATGTCCAGTGCTGACTGCAAGCCGGCTGCACTTGGAAGTGATGAAGCTCTCTTACCCCCTAGTGGCAGTGTTTGTCAGTCATGATGATTTTATGCAGCCCTTTGCTCTGTCAAGGATTGGAGTTTATAGGCGAGCATCTCTGATGTTCCTATTGTAAAATATCACAGCATCTGCCTCTTACTATGTGGTAATTTGCCTTATTTCCCTTTTGTTTTATTTTCAGGGACTTGTTCACCAAATCTATTGTGCTTTTTTGTTTCTCAAGTTATATTGCACCTATCTTTCTCCTGTCTTCTGCAAAAGGCTAGCTGTCAGTTTCCTATGCCTTATGTGCTTTGTCTACTTCAGTATGGTTTCTGACTAATTACTTAGATCAGAGTTGATGCAAGTTGCTCCTCATCTTAAGTCCCTAGTAAATGCAGTTTATATATATATATTTTGAATATACATTTTTCTAGACTTTCTGTGTTTGATCTCAAGAATAGGCTAACATGAAACACAGGGAGCTTGGAATTACTTGAATTTGGTTTTGATTGCAGTTACTGCATGTGAATCCTATTTTATTTCCAGGAGCTTTAAAAAAAAAACAAAAAAACAAAAAAACAAAAAAAAACAAAAAAAAAACAAAAACAACAAAAAAAAACAGAGGAACTTCTCCCTCTTGCATGACATAAATAATAATTTCAGCTTCAGGAAAGATACAGAACACATTTAACGTTTCAGGAGGGATGAGGCTTCCGTAGACGAGTTTCATATGCTTTCTGTATCAGTGATAATATGCTAACCATATCCCTCATGATTATAATAATTTTCATTTCAGTGAGCCTAGGGTATTAATGCTCAGGAGATTTGCATGCTTTTTTTCTAGTAACCCGACATGGTCTTGAATGTTAAAAGCAGCAGATAGGGTTGCAAAGACATTTTCCATCTATATTAGCTTTGCTGATCAAATTTAGATGCTTCTCACCAGAAATATCTCACATATGCCTTGGATTTAATCCTTTTGGGTCAATGATTCAGTCCCTGACAATAGAAAAACACATGCTATATGTATATTTTTCGAAAATTAGTTTTTAATTGTGTTTTTTTGCCATCAGTTTTCTCATGGGGTGACTTTCACAGTACTCCTTAAACTGATTCAGAAATTTGCTCATGGTTTACCAATGAAACAAAGCGTAAAGTTGTTCTACATCTGGTGTTGTTCCCTGCCTTCCTTCTTTGCTCTGTACCCATTTGCTTACAGACTGGATGACTTTTCCTTTGAAATTTCATTGCAAAACAGAGGTCAAAATAGGCAAGTTTATGGTGATGAGGGCTTGATAGTCTGCCTCTTGCTTTTCCATTAAAACAACAAACAAGGAATTGGTTGAGAGGGCTCTAAAAATGACTTAACAGTATGTATTTCAGTTCCTACTTACGTTTACATAAAAGGTAATTGTTTTTAAAAAATGTTTGCTTTTCAGTTTTGCTAAACATTTTGGTAACATTTTTCTGCCTAGAATTTTCAAATTGACATCTATTACTTTCTTAGTGCACCAGATGTAAACAGTAAGGTATGAGACGCAAGTCTATTAGAGAATAGGTTTACAAAACACTGTTTTGTGTGTTCTTGAAAAGCAATATTAAATGCTTATTAGCACAGGTCTTGTTTTCTAGGATGTGTGTGTAGTTAATTGCAGGGAAGAATTTGCAAAATACAAAAGTTCTGAGAATTTTTCATGCCAAAATCTTGATTGAAGTCCAGGAACCTTTACCAGCCTTTGTAAACTGACCCAGAAAGAGGAATGAGACAAACAGGATCTGTAAACAAAGATCACGTGTTCTTCACAAATACATTTTGGAAGGATGGTTGCCTAGGGAAACAGGAAATGGGAATTATACAACAAACAAAAAGGACTGCCAAACAAATTTGCTGACCTTTTTTTCAGGGAATTATGATGAAAACTGCTGGAATCCTCAATATTTAAACGTATTTCTTAATCTGAAGGTGGAACAGAAGAGTAACTTAGCAATTATACCACAACCATACAGGAGATAAAGAAAGCTTCCTTGAATTATTTGTACTAAAGAAAACAATGCAGGGCTGTGAGCTGTGTGATCATAAGTTTATCATGATTTTTTCTTTTTTTGAGCTTTCTAGCTCAATTAAATATTTGGGAATCAATGCTTCCTTTTACAGATGAGATAACGACAAAATCATCCCATTTTTATCTCACAAAGATCATCTAGCTCTGTTGCAGTGCAGTTTTATTCTCATTTTTGAGGGCAGCAGTTTTTTCAAACCTTGACTGTACTTTTCTCTAGGAAACAGCAGCTCTCAGAATGTTGTTTAACATGCTTCCAGGAATCATAAATAAGAAGGAAATAAGAGAATTTGTACAGGACTTGTTTTTAGCGGAGAAGGAATCAACCTTTGGGTGATTTTTCTTCCTCTCAATTCTCTCATTTGACTTCGGAGGACTCATACGAGAAGCTCTGTAAACAGGAGCAACTTCTGCATGGCTCCTGTTTAGAGATGGTTCAGTTTTAAGCAGTGGTAAATAACGAGAACACTGGAAAATAGAAAGTATTGGGTTCACCCAGTCCAGATACTGGTTTTATATGAAAGTTGAGAGGTGAAAGTACTTAAAAAACAGAAAATAGGGATAATAAATTGCAAGGTTAAACTGAAGATACTCTTCATCCTGAATACTAAGAAGGTAATTTAATGAAATCTTGTGCCTTTAGTGTGAATATTGGACTATCCCCGTATTCCCCTCTTGGAAGTTCATGGAGAGGGTAATACATTTATCCGGTGCTTAGATCCTTTCCTGTATATTATTTTTACCCTTCAACTTCTTTTTTTTTTTTTTTTTTTTTTTTCCTTTGTCAGTTCCAATGACAGGATTCACTCAAAGGGCTACCATTGATCCAGAACTGAATGAAATCCATGTCTTGTCCGGGCTCAGTAAAGATAAGGAGAAGCGGGAAGAGAATGTAAGGAATTCTTTCTGGATTTATGACATCGTGAGGAACAGCTGGTAAGTCAATTAAAGGGGAAAACTTCCAACTTTTACAATGATTTCTTTAGAAAGTAGTCCTTAACACAGTCATACTTCCCAAGTAACTCTATAATAATTTATAACTATGCACTGGCAATCTTGAAGCTCAGTTCCTTTTAGGCTCTCCCAGAGTATTTAGAAAGACTGTAGAAACAAGCCACTTGAAGGGAGGAAACTGTATTCTTTCGCTGGAGACAGGTGGGAGGTGGGTGGGGGAAAAAGTAAGCCCTTATATGAAGTTTTTCCAGTAGGAAATGTTCAAGGCAAAAAACATTCTTCTAATTCTCCACTGGACCCTCCCTTGACAGCTCTATTCCTTCTGGCCTTATCACTGTCACCAGTTCTTGTGAGGAGCTGTAGGTTGTTATGAGGCCTTCCCTCAGCCTTTTCCGCTCTGGGCTGAAAAACCTTGGTTTTGGACCTCAGCTGTTCCTTGTACTTCTTGTCCTTTTTTTCCATCTTTATAGCTCTCCTTCGGATGCTTTCTAAGAGTTCTATGTCCTTCTTATATTGTGGCACCCAAACTGCACCCTGTGGTTGAGGTGAGAGACCATACAGTGGAGAACAGAGAAGGACAATTCCTTCTCTCACCTGTCTGGAAGAGCTGGGTCTCATGCACCCCGGGGTATAGTTTCCAGGGAATGTCACTGACCAGATTCAACTTACCATCAACTAGAATTCACAGTTCCATTTCCACAGGACTGCTCTCCAAGCCTCTTATCCTCAGTCTGTATAAATATCTAGAGTTGCCCCATCCTAGGTGGAGAATCTAGCACTTGCTGTTGTTAAACTTTATGTACTTGGCAATTTCCCTGTCCATTTTGTCAAGGTCTCTCTGTAGGACCTTCAGCTGGAAACAAAGCAAAAGAAAAAAGTCTCTGTGGAGAAGAGAATAGTGATTGAAATAGTACTTTTGTTAAAGTTTGTGGTCTAGATTTCCCTCATCTCTACTGTATCCAAAATGCTATTCTATTAATTGTACTTATTGTCATATATTTTAGGTCTTGTGTCTATAAAAATGACCAAGCAGCCAAAGAAAATCCAGGTAAAAGTCTTCAGGAAGAAGAGCCCTGCCCAAGATTTGCCCATCAACTGGTTTATGATGAGTTGCACAAGGTATGAGAGTCTAAATACATAGACAGTGATTTTATTTTTGTTGCTCATCCATTGTAGTTGCTTCTTCAGAGATAGTACAATGAAAATACCTGTTTGTTTGGTGTTAACTGTTTGGATTACTTTGGTGGATAAGCTTCAGCTAACACATTAATGGTGTTTGGAAATGGGCTGTAGTTTTCCCTCTTATGGATAGCTCCTACAAGCAATACAGACTTGTCAGGCAGCAAGCTACTAGCTTCTCTTGTACTTGAGAGCACACGCAGCTTTATGCATTATCTTCAGGGGCTTGAGCTCAAAACTTCTTGGAGTTGTTTCTTTTAGTTTAACTGTTGAGTTCATCCTTCCAAGAACTCACAGACAATTAACATTTCAATAAGGAATGCTGGGAATGTCATTGTTTTCTTCTCTCTTGTTGGGATTTCTCTTTAGAGAGCTACTTGGCAGGGTGACATGAGATAAAACCCTGGTGGGAAGGGATGCTCAAGAAAGCTGGTCATTATTCAAGGTTGTCTCCTCCAAGTCCAGATAGATTGCATTCCAAGAAAAAGGAAGGCAGGCAGGAATGCCAGCAGGCCATCATATATCAACAAGGAGCCTCCTGGACTTAATTAAGCTCAAAAAGAAAATCTGTAGGAGTGCAAGCAGGACTGGGTTACCTGGGAGCACTACAAAGATGTTGGCAGAGCCAAGGATCAGGTTAGGGAAGCTGAAACCAGATACAATTGAATCTGGCCAGGAACATAAAGGGTAACAAGGAAAAAATTCTTCAGATACATCAGTGGTAAAAGGAAGGCCAGAGAAGATGCAGGCCCTCTCTGGAAGGATACTGGACACTTGATCACAAGGGATATGGAGAAAGCTGAGGTACTCAGTGACTTCTTTGCCTCAGTCTTCACTAGCAAGGGCTCTAGCCATACCACCCAAAATGCCAAGGCAGTACTTAGAGAAGAAAGATTTGCCTACTGTAAGTGAAGATCAAGTTCAAGACTGTTGAAGAACTTGAAGGCGTGCAAGTCCACGGGACTTGATTAAAATCCATTCACAAGCTTTTGAGGGTTCTGAGATGGATGAAGTTGCCAAACTACTGTCCGTATTGGAAATGTCATGGCAGCCTAGGGAAGTTCCCACTGATTGGAAAAGGGGAAACAAAAAGCCTATTTTCAAGAAGGGAATAAAAAAAATACGGGGGTCTACAGGAATCCACAACCTCCCTGGGCAGCCTGTTCCAGTGCTCCATCACCCTCGCTGTGAAGAAATTCCTATGCAAATTGGTGTGGGACTTGCCATGCTCCAGTTTTTTTGCCAATTCCCCTTGTCCTGTCCCCAGAGAACACTGAAAAGAGGTTGGCCATTTCTCTTTGACTCTCGCACTTAAGATTCTTATAAACATTAATCAGATCCCCTGTGAGTTGTCTTTTCTCGAGGCAGAATGGACCCAGTTCGCTCAGCCTTTCCTCCTACGGAAGATGCTCCAGACCCTTTATCACGTTTATGGCCCTCCACTGAACTCTCTCCAGGACATCCCTGTCTTTCTTTTACTGGGGAGCCCAGAACTGGATACAGTACTCCAGATGAGGCCTGACCAGGGCACAGCAGAGGGGTTGGATCACCTCCATTGATCTGCTGGCCATGCTCCTTTTAATGCACCCCAGGATCCCATTGGCCTTGTAGTCCACCAGGGCACACTGCTGGCTCATGGCCAATCTGTCATCCACCAGGACCTCCAGGTCCTTCTCCGCAGAGCTCCTCTCCAACAGGTCATTCCCCCAACCTGTACTGATACTCATGGTTATTCCTTTCCTGTTGCAAGGGTCTGTACTTCCTTCTTCCTTTTGTTAAACCTCATCTGATTTATTGCTGCCCAGCTCTCCAGTCTGTCTGGATCTTGCTGAATGGCAGCACAGCCTTCAGGTATGTCAGCCACTCCTCCCAGCTTTGTATTGTTGGCATACTTACTGAGGGTGGACACTGGAGACCTGGTCAAGGTCGTCAGTGAAGATGTTGAACAAGACCAGACCCAACACTGACCTCTGGAGAACACTGCTAGTCTCCAACTAGGCTCTCTGCTGCTGATCACCACCCTGTGAGCCCTGCCAGTCAGCGAGTTCTCAACCCACCTCACTGGAGTGGGTGCAGTAATGGTCCATGATGATGATTAGAGGTCTGGAGCACTTCCCCTACAAGGACAGCTGAGAGAGCTGGGGCACTTCAGCCTGGAGAAGAGAAGGCTCCTGGGGGATGTAACAGTGAAATAAATCCTTTGCAGTACCTGAAAGGGGGCCTTCTTCAGGGAAGTTGGGAAGGCACTTTTTAGAAGGGCACATAGCAACAGGACAAGGGAAAATGATTTTAAACTGGAAGAGGTTGATCTAGACTAGATATTAGGAGGTCAGGCTGGATGGGGCTTTGAGCAACCTGGTCTGGTGAGAGATGTCCATTTCTGTAGCAGAGGAGTTGGAACTAGATGATCTTAAAGGTCCTTCCCAATCCAAAACATTCTATGATTCTATGAAAATGTTTGAACTCAGCTCTGTTAAGAATCTGCTGTAACTGGTGCCTTTATTTCCTCTGCATGTCAGAAGCAAAAGTCATTCTTTAGCATTATCTGACTTTAAGGGACAAATACTGAGTTGTACTTAAAATTGTTCATAGTGTATACATGAGTGGTGAGCAGATTTAGAGCTTTGTGCATGTTAATGCAGACCTGAGGATTAGGTTACCATAACTTCATTAGCCTATGAATTTAAATCATGGTGACAAATTCACATCAACTTTCAGGGATGTGATTAAACTGTTTTTAAAATTGGTTTATGTAGTGTGAAACAGCCTAAACTGGAAAATATAAATATAATTTATGTTTATAATTCCATAGTACGCTATGGAATTTGGAAAAGCTTGTGGATGGAAGGAGAAGTTTAAGGGAGAATAGGTGCAGCTTCTGTATAGCAATGTTATTATTTGTCTTCACTGAGCATGTTAATGATAAATTATCAATACTGATCTACCCTTAATTGTTTATTTCCAATGTGTAAGGTATGAGATTGAGATTGATAGTAGAATTTTCGAAGTTATTGTGAAGGTTGCTAAGTTGTGGCAGTTGCTCAGCATTATCTGAAGAGCTGTTTGATGTGCTTGTTTTGAAGAGTCTTATTTTTAGAAACCTCTGTTCAAATGACCTTTCTAAACTCCTCTCAATATAAATAAGGAGAGCCTACATCAGTAGGATGTAGAATACATTGTTTTGAGTGATTATTTTTAAAGCTGTGAGAATAAGTAGCCTATTAAACTTCTTGAACTTCAATATTTGAAGTCTCTTTGTCGTGGTTAGTATCAGCAGTTCAGAGCCTGAAATATGAAATTATGTGAAAGAGGAAAAAAAAAAAAGTAAAGAAATACAGTCCTTTTTGCTCTCTTTTTCCTCTCTCTGTCTATCCTTGCATTTCAAAGTTCTTGTATTCTGAAATCATCAGAAGATCTATTTGAGACTACTTCATTTGAGCTGCCTTCAACAAAAAATGGATTTTGCATACTGCATTCAGTATTTCCATGGTTGGTCTCTCTGGATTACTAGAACTCTTGAACATGATCAGTCCAGCAATGGATGTGACATCTGGTTCCAAATAAGATTTGTGTTTTCTTTTTCAGCTATTCCACTGTTCTTAGCATTACAATTTTTCTGAACTCTTAACTTTACAGTTATGTCTTTTTATTTTAATTCCTCCTCTGTGCCCAGGCAGTACATCAAACACCTTGCAGCCAGACTGATGTATTCAGGTGAAATATGTCTGTTCCAGAGACAGTGGAAGTAAACCTGTCTTGCAGAGAAAAATAAGATCTTGGGAGCTTCCAGGACATGTAGGAACACAGGTCTGTTGTGTCATCTCCCAAGATTGTGCTGGACTGGGCTAGTTGTCACTTCATTTTGAGTATCTTTAGGACTTTCCCCCATTCCCTTTTCCGGGGGCCCTTGTGTTTGAAGAATACCGCAGTCTTCTCTGACTCAAGGAGAAGACTACTTCTCCTTGAGCTGTACCTGAGTAGTACCTGAGCTGTACTGTCTTCAGTGCTGCGTCTTCATCAACAGTGCTTTGACTGGAGTTAAGAATATTAGTCCAGAAAGTTCATTTTTCTAAGTCTTACATATGAGCGTAGGTATTTCTTATTTGAAGAGAGAGTCTGGTTGCTGGAGGAATTTTGATTTTATATATATATGTATATTTAGGTCTGCTTGACCTAAATAGAGAGAGGCTTTATTGAGGTACCTTAATTTTTCCTTGTCCTGTGATGGGGATAATTTAGTGTCTTTGAGGACAAGATTGGAAAAGAAGCTTACAATCAATCAGTTTGAATGTTGCTTGCTCTAATTTGAACAGAGCAACAAGAGTTGGATGAGATCCTCTTCTGCTCATATTATCTACTTGAAGATTTATCATGCTTATAAGTTTTTCCTAAAGAAAGAGATTCTCTGGTCTGTGGATGTCTTATTATCTTACTTTTTAAGTGCCTTAAGACAACCTCATTTTCTAAGGGATAAAGTAGGGGTAATAAAGCTCATAATAAGTTGGAGCAGCTCCTCCAAAAAAGAGTCATTGTCTAATGAATATATATAAACAGTTAAACTTCTTGATCTTCACCTATAGGTTCATTATTTATTTGGAGGAAATCCTGGCAAGTCCTGCTCTCCAAAGATGAGATTAGATGATTTCTGGTCTCTGAAGCTCTGTCGACCTTCAAAGGAATACCTGCTAAGACACTGCAAATACCTCATAAGGAAGCACAGGTACAGAAACAAAAGATTAGTTAAAACTTAAGTTTTAGCATCTTTAAAAATCTCTCTATCCTGTAAATAGTTGTTTCACTTCACTGATTATATGGCAATCTGCAAATTTCCTGTTTATTTTTGGTTAAGGAAAAATAGTTCAATATTAAAAGCTGTTAGGCAAATCTAAATGATAAAATTGTAATCGCTTACTTCACTCTGTTTTTATGATGTTATTCTGAAGCTAAAATAAGTCTTGACTATCGTGTGGGGATTTGTGGAGAATTTTTAGATTTCCTCTTCACTCTGCTTCTCATCAACATGTGTACTGTCACCCCCCAAGGAAATAGAATATTTTTTTAAAGCAGTGTGCTAGGGGATAGTGACAGCTCACAAGGATGTTAATGAAATCTGGGGGTTGAATTCCTTTGCACATCTGAGACTTACCTGTAGTGAGGTCATCAGTGTTTCTCTTTCAGAACCACTTGAAAGATCTCGCTTATGGGGAATTCATCTGCACTGTGATACTTGCACTCTGGATGTTTCAGAGCTACCTTTTGTTTGCTACTTAAGGAAACAGCTTTTCAAAATCAAGCTCGTGGTGTTGCCTTAAGCAATAAATTGTAACAGTTAAGGAGTCTTTTAAGGTTCAGCAAATCATTTGAAGCCAATAGATACATCTTCTTTCTGCATTCTTGATGAGAATACTTTGATTCTGCCAAGAGTTGGAGGTCAAGGGTCAGTTCTTTTTTTTTTTTAAACTTCTGAGGTAGCAAGCAAATTGCTGCAGTAGACTTTCTGGGTGAGGCCTTTTGCAGGTTAGCAATGCAATATTTGTGAATACCTACAAGAACAAATCAAAATCTTGCCAGTAATCTGGGAGGTTTACTAGCCGCTGTGGTTGTATGCAAATACAGCTGTACTGCCTCCAGAAACAACTGTGTGTTACATGTTTTCACTTGATTAAGTTGCACTTAAAGAAAACATTGCTACATGTTGTCTGGCAGAAGCTTGGATTTTATGCACTGTGTTCCTGTTTCTTGGTGTATGTCAGGGAACTGAACGTACTAGCTGGGAATTGGGACGATAGATGCTTTTCTGGAGCTCTCTGGACTATGGCAATATCGTTTAAGAGTATCTGTTTGACTAGTTGGAAGTAATAATGTTTAATTACCAAATTGTCATGTAAATCAGGCAACAGTCATAATCTTTCCTTTCTGAGACTTAAGCCCAGATCTTGAGATGAATTGAAAATTTGAGTTTCAGATGTCTATTGCTACCAGTCAGGTAGTTTGAAATCTATTCAGTATGACTTACAAATAAAAGACCTTGTGTTCTTCTATGGCATTTGATATATGGCTGTTAAGTAAGTAAGAGCATAGTTTTTAAGGTTCTCATCACTGGAATCTAGAATTATCAGAGCTATTTTCATGGAAAGACTTGATAACTGTGTATTAGTGATTTAAAAGGCAACAGTATAATACTGCACTCAGCAGATAGATGGTAGGAGGAAAATAGGTAATTCTAAACCTCTTCATTTCCAGATCTATTTACCCAATTCAGTACTCATCGAGAGGGCTGAGTGCATAGTCTTGTTCTGGCTGTATGTGTTTCTTCAGGAATTTGCAGCAGTTAATGTTTCCCCTTATTAAAAGAAAATGAGAAAATAATGGTGGTGATGCATGGCCAAATTTTACATTTCTGTGCTCTTTCCAAAGGTGGGATGTCAAGTCATTGAATCCGAGGATTTTTGTTTCCATTATTCCTTCTTTTGTTGTCTGGCAGAAGCAGGGAGCATTCTTCATCTTTCATTTTAGGCTTCTGTTTAGTCAGGAATCGAAATATTCCTTACGCCCCTCAAAAAAAAAAAAACACAACCATTTCTTATGTTTCAGTCTGCCTTAAAAGCACATACCCTAGTAAATGTGATGCTAAGCTGCCATTAATACTGTATTGTGTGGAAGTATTTGTCTAAAAGTTTTGTAGGCTTTGCTCTATGTAGAAATAGCTGTATTTAGTCCTGAAGAATGTAGTTGCACTTAGGTTTTCTCTTTCTTGCAGGTTTGAAGAGAAAGCTCAGACTGATCCTCTTAGCGCACTGAAGTATCTACAGAATGACTTGTATGTAACTGTGGATCACTCAGACCCTGAGGAGACAAAAGAGGTAATGAACAATCTTTGTCTTAGTTATAAAGAAATATGAACTGTGCTTTCATATTCTAGCACGGATCTTAAGTTTCTTAAATTTTGTTTATATTCAGTTTGAAAAGCTAAACTGGAACGTGATACTTCACTGTATTGTATTTTCTCCACACAAAAGATCATATTACTTTAGAAACAGGTATTTTACAACTATGTGTCCAGATAAAATAGGATTTCTGCTTGTAATAGTGAAGACTAAGCCTTTGTTCTATTTCCAGTGTACTTGTGTGTATTTTGGGCACTTTAATTGAAATGTAAACTCTCTGAAATGTCATGAGTCTGTGGTTGGTTGCATGGTGGAGGGGAAATAAAAACACCTATTCACTTTACGTTTTGGCTTGTCAATATCAAATAGCTTGGGGGTAGAAAGACCTTTCCTTCTACATCATATGAACTGCTGGAGGCAGATTGCACATATACATTGCTCACTAACCTTAAAACTCCTATTTCTTCAGCATTTTGAATATTATCTAGTAGACTTGTTCTTTGATTTGTTCTAGAAATTTGTTCCCATTTCCAATTTTGATTACTGCAGTATGTATCACTTTACAAAATGAATTAAAGCAATAGTGTGAAGTATCAGATAAGTTTGGTTGACTTCACTCTCCTATTCATGTCTACATGGAACTTGAGGCAGCCAGCTTAGATGTACAAGCATTCAAACACTCCTGATGGTTAGATGAAGAAGTGGAGTCCTCAGTTCTTATCTTCATGCATTACTCACCATGGAAATAATTTGACAGCTCCTTTCATAAAATTCAAGTAGGAAAGTGGACTCTTGTTGCTCATTGCTGAGCCTCTGAATAAAGCCACTTAATCTGGTTTCAGCTCAAAGAAGTGATCTTTGTACAGGCACTTAAAGTTGTAGTTGGTGTGGAATCACTTTGCATGTGCATAGTATAAAAATGCAGGGTTAATAAAATGAAAAAATATTAACTACTGTTCGAATCTTGGAACTGATCAAATTTAATTGTTATAAATTCTGGCTAGGGTTCATAAACTTCTGGTCCAAATAAAATATAACTGCCGTGCCTGTAAGTTTTCTGCTAGGCGATTTCTCGCTGAAACTGTCCCATATCAAGTACTTTCATACATTTTTAAATCTATTTCTAGCAAAAGAAAGACAAAGAACAAATAGTCCTCATTTTCCTTAGCTAGAAAAGGAGATATTCCCCATATTTCATGGGGGCTTTGCCAATTATGCCTATTTTAAATGTGATAGCACTTTTACCTTCTTATTTGAATCTGTAATAGCCTAATGACATGAAATGACAATTCCATTGCTTGCTTTTCAAGTTCTCTGCCGTCTCTCTCTGCAGGACGTGAAATTGTCCTGTGCTCTTTACTTTCCCTTTCTGTCTGTAGCATATCTGTTCTAGAAGCCTCATCGTGTCTGTGAAAGCCATGTGTGTGTTTGGCCAACTTCTCCTAAAGAGATCTTGCATCAGTTGGCCAGGTGTGCCTTTTTATTGCCTGAAGAGAATGTGCTTGTGGTAAGATCAGTGAGCGTCTTTCCTTCTAGTTCATGTAGGTATCTGCCACCAGTAGACTGTGTGTTGCATACATGTAAATATAAGGAATCCTTTAATACTCTGTATCTTATATTCTCATTTCAGTGTGTAGAACTGAATTTGTCCACTCTAAGAATGAAGAATTTACCTAAATGCATGCACATCTGAGGTTCTGAGGAAAAGTAGTAGATGTATATTGCAGAGCATAGTTAGAATAAAAAGTTTAAATAATAATAAAAGTTTGACAGGGCATGCTAGTATTCTGCTCATTAATGAACTTAGAATCATAAAATGAGTTGGAGGGGACCTTAAAGGATCATCAAGTTCCAGCTCCCTTGCTGCTGCCACGCTTGCCAGCTACTAGATCAGCTGTACTAGACCAAATCGCACAGAGTCCCATTCAACCTGGCCTTAAACACATGCAGGGACGGGGAATCCATAACCTCTCTGGGCAAGCTGTTTCAGCACCTCATCACTCTCAGTGTAAATCTTGCCCCTGACATCTCATCTAAATCATTCTTCCTTCAGTTTAAAACTGTTCTTCCTTGTCCTATCACTATCTACCTGTGCAAAAAGTTGTTTTCCTTCCTGTTTTTAATCTCCCTTTAAATACTGGAAAGCCATAATGAGGTCTTCTGGCAGTCTTCTCTTCTAAGCATATAAGCTCAAGTAGAACAAGCCAAATAAGTGAATATATGTTGAACCCTTCCCTTTCTCTGCAGGCCTAGTGCCTGATCCAAGCAGAATTCAGTAGCTGTCATGTAGGTCTGCCAAATCAAGCGCGAACCTTTCAGCAGAATGAAAGCTTTGATTCCTGTGCTATCTGAAAATTATTTAACAAATTCCAGGAGGTTTTTTGTTGTTGTTGTTTGTTTTGCAAATTTTGCTGGTCACAAAATTTTGCTTTGTAAAGCTTTTTACGCTGGAACAGATCTGCTGGGTCAGAGGCTTAGAGCCAGCCAGTGCCCTGGTAGTAACTGGGTGTATTTCCAGTTGACGTCAATTTACCTTCCGATTATCACATTGAGTTGGCTTTTTGCTCTGGCATTACATCTTCAAATAGCTCTTGTGCTTTCCAGAGGACTGACGCAGGCTTTTTGGATTCCATATCAAATTGCAAGCAGCAATTTGATTGTTTATTTCAGCACAGACACCTACGTACTCTGTCTTTATTTGTAGTTGAGATAGTCTTAATATTGAGAGCTGTGTATGTGATTGGTTTGTTCTGTGTGGACTACAACCAGTGAACACTGTAAGGCTTCCAAGTATGGCAGATTTTAAAGAAATTAGTTTCTCTTTTCTGTGTTGTTCTCCTTCTCTATAGGACTGCTCTTAATTTTGCAAAGGACCAAAATGAGTTTATCCTTGACTTTGTTACAGTTTTATAGACTGGTATGATATTACAAGCAGAATTTCACTTCAGGGTAAAGCTTACTTGTTTTATAATAGAATTGATTTTTTTTCAAACTTCGTTAGGCAAGTCTCTTCAGCTGTTTTGAGTTAAATGCCAAAGAAAATAAACAGGCTGTTCTCAAAACTTACTTTGGCATTAGTAACCAATTTTGTTTAAAGCAGCATGAATGATTGACAGTAGGAACATACCTCAGATTTTCCTTCCTTTGTTGTGAATTTTAGCAGTGTTCATGGGATGATAAATTTACTTCCATTTTTTTTATTACTACACTGTGAAGCTGTAGATGCCTGCTAGCAGGTAGGTATCTCATGGGTGCTTATTTTAATAGCCACAGGCTGTATGTCAACAACTATATTTCTGCTGTTGCCTGCAATTGCAGATCTAGTTCTCTTTAACTGTTCCTGCTTGAAATCACTTAAACTTCTTCAGCATTTTCAGATTAGTGAATCTTTTCTGTTTACTGGCTGTGACACTGTGTGCAAGGAGAGTAAATTTCCAGAGCACATGGAAGTCTGTCTGTGCATCCTGGGTCATGAGGAGATGAAAGTTGGATACAAGTCTCACACTGGGAGTTCTTGACATTGGAAAAAAAAAATCTGCCAGAATGAATGTTCTATTTCATATACAAATAAATGTGCATTTGGTGATAATTTTTTTCCTAAATGGAAGTTTTTTTCCTAATTTAAGCTTTTAAAGACAAGGGTGATTGAAACTGGAATTTAAAATGAATTCCAAGTGTTTTACTTGTATATCATGAAAAGATAGATGCTGCTAAAGCAGCATCAGGGAACACAGTTAGCCTTGTGTGTTCAGCTGAACACTGGATTGATCAAAACCAAAACATCGGTGCTGCTTTACTTGCATCTGTAGAAGAAATGAAGAGGCTACCAAAAATTGAGCAGTGCTGCCCAAGTAAAACAAAACCGTTTATGACGATGAGACAGATTTGCCTAGTGTGAAGAAGAAACTTAAGCTTGCCAAAACATAGGTACCAAGTGCAAGTAAAAGCTGAAATCTGTTTTTCCTGGACTGTGGTAGGAGAAAACGAACAAGAACCTGGAGGCTAATTTGAGGCCAGACTAATTTGTAGCCTGGGGCTGGAGGCCCCTGTTTAAGGTTCCTTTATACTTTCCATTCTTGAGACATTTTCTTTAAAAAAAATTTGCCAGATAAAAGCCAGCAGAGCCCAAAAGTATTGCTTAGGTCTGCATTCGAGTGAAATTTCTGGGAAAATTTAAGCCCAAATAGGAAAAATAGTTCTAGGAAGGAGCTAAGAAAAGCACGCTTCTGTTCGTCACGTCCTGCTGTGATTCTTTGTAAAGCCTCAGGCTCTGTGCTGCAGGAGCAGAGGTTTTGGAGCCAAGGAGAGTCTTTGAAATAAGTGTTCGACCCTCCCAGACTTCGGCTTGTGACAGCTCCATCCTCAAACAGTGCAGGCCTCTTGTTTCTTCTTTGTGCCTTTACTACAAGGCGCCATCCCAACAGAATCAGTCAAAGCTGAGAAACCGCTTTGTGCTGCGATCTGAGCACTCGGCGTGCAGACCTTCTGGAGGAGGAATTACATCTGACTTGTAGAGCCCCTCGAGTATCCCAAACAGAACTACTGATCTTCCCTTTGCGCCGACAGTAGAGGCATGCAGCAAATACACTAAAACCTGTATGGGTTGTCACACAGCAGAATTGGTTTTTTTTGCTTTAGATAGAAACCTAGGTGAAATATGTAAAACTGATTAAAGAATGCTAATGCTGGAAACACGAAGAAGTTGGAAAATACTGGAATTAATATTAATTATGCAGTCTTAATTAGGCTTTTCTCTGAAAGTGGTTGTGGAACCTTATGCTAGTTGTCTTAAATCCCTATTTCTGAGGGACCCTCGCATTAGTTTAGAAGGAGGATTGGATCTCAGAGAGAGAACTTAATTATGTAATGAAGTAAACTGTTGTGTTTTGCATGGAGGCTTAATTTGGAGTAGATTAAGCCAACATGGTGAGGGGATTGTCAGAAAAAAATGGGTGGTGGCACAATTAAAGCGGTTGGATGCTTCTGCTGGATAATTGAGTTCTGGTCGCGCCTCCGTAACGGAGCTGCTATGTGACTTTAAGCAAATCACTTTTTCTAGGTGGTCATTAATTGGCTCTTTCATTTTGGTACTAGATGGGAGAGATCTGATATGTGGTCTGTTGAGGGCTTTGCTCTTCAAGCTACAAATGAATTCAGTAAAAGCTGCTTAAAGCAAAATGTTTTGGGGGGAAAAAAAGATGGTAGTTTCAAATTGGGCACCCAGAATGAAGCAAGATATGAAATACTATCTGGTAGGATATCAATTAACAGAAAAACTAATGCAGAAATTATTTTTTTCATAGTGTGTTCAGAAGTATATGAAAAAAAAAAGTTGCATTGGATATATGCTGTGAATGGTGTGTAAGAGAGGTGGTCTTCACTTAGCAGTAGCAATTGTATGCATAGGGGAAAAAAATGGGAGTCCTTTGGGAGAACATTGTGTAGTTAGTTGGGATTTTAATGCAAATGTGGTGTGCCAGCATAAAGCTTCAGTGCTGTCCGTAATTGATGTTGGTAACATACCTACTTGACTTTTCTGTCATAAAGTGCTTTTTAAATGTGAAATGATGCATAAAGTATCATTTTAAAGCAAAAGTAAACACAACTGTCAAGGTTAGCTCTACTGCAGTGGCATCATCGAAGGAAAAAAAGATACTCCTTTCCCCAGAGGCTAGAAAGGAGCTAATAGCAGCAGCAATTCGTCACTCAAAGTGCGTGAAGAGTAGAATACTTGGCGAAGGGTCTTTTCAACTGATTTTTGGTCTCAGTTCTGCAAGTTACTACCTGGATTGTGTTATTTGATCTCTAGGAACTGAATACCTGAGGCCCAGCCCCATCTGGGGTTTACTTCTGTTTCTGGCTACTCAGAAGAACCACAGGCTGTGGTCCCTGGGGAAGGAGGGGGAATCCCTCAAAGCATGTGGTGTCTGCATTGTCCCCAGAGCTGGCTTAGTGCGTCACCAGGCAGCTTGGCAGCAAGCCAGTAAGGCACTTGTTTGTGAGAGGAAGATAGCTAGAACATGGCACTTTATATCAGAAGCACAATGGATTTGGCCTCTGGTTTTATTGGAACTTTTGGAGCTATTTAAACTGGGCCCGTGTTTACGGATGTTACTGGTGCAGGGCCAAGCAAGTCTTACAAGTTTCGATCACAGTGAAGTACACGTGCAGCAGTGCAGTTCCTTTGGATTTTGTGTGGTCTCTTAATCTCTTCCTGTGATAGCCTCCACAAAAATTTACAGGTTTATTCTGACACGTTGCAGTCCTTACTTCAGACTGCTTTTTTCTTGATGGCAGATTGGATTTTGTTGAAGGTTTTTTTGTTGTTGTTCTTGCACTTAGTTGTAGGCTTACCTTTTTGTAAATGCCTTCTACATTTGAGACTCATTTCTCTTTCATCCTTGGGCATTCTTCTGTGGAGGCTGTGCAACCCTGACTCTTTAAACTGTATTGACAGAGCTTGATTTTTAAACCACTTGATTTTTCTAGCACTTTCCCAATATGCTGCTAATTGATAGAGGGCGTTCAGAGTTTGTTGCTGTATTGCAGATGAGAATTTACAAGCCTTAGAACAGCGGGAGTACTTGATTTACTTGAAGACCTGACTCCTTTTCATTCGTTTTCTGCTGTATTTGTTATTTTTGCAATAGGCTGACAGTGATCTATTACAGCTTGCAAATGTATTTTTGCAGTTCTGTTTTGTATGACTGATTATTCCTAGGTTTGTTGATTTGCACTTGACCCTAGTGAATTGCATCTTGAGCCATCGTTATAGCCTGGATGAAACAGAAAAACAATCTGAAGCATGACTGCTTCCATGCTGGCGGTATAAGCATGGCACGAGGCCTGTGGGCTGAATGAATGTGTCCTCTGCTTTCAGACCAGGCCCTGTTCCTCTTCTGTGATTCATGGTTCTGTTTTGATATCAAACCACTCATAACTACCTCCAGTTAAGTTACTTGGCCTATTATTCCCTGCTAGCTTAATCTCAGCAATTCCTCACTAATTCACCTTAAGTAGCATATAAAAGCATTTGAAGTCCAATGAAAGATGAGATTAAAAAAAAAGAGTCCCATGTTCAGTCCCTATGGCCTGCTGCCTTTGTAGAAGAAATCAGCTTGATGTGATACAACTTATTGCTAAATCATCATTGACTGCTACTTGTCACCTTCTACGTTGTTCCACTTTTTTCTTTTTGAAATTAAACTGCTCAATATCTAATTTCTGGTGTTCCACCCTCTCCTTCCCTTTACATATTTTACCCTTCTTTCTTTGGGCTGTATCACCATACATAAAATAGAGAGGAGACAAAACATTGCAAACCTTTAAGGGATTGGCTAGTTTTTTGAAGATACATGACAAAGCACTGAGCTTTGCTTCACCATGAGGAACTGAAAACAGCAGCTGGGGGCAGAGGAAGCTAATATTCACTGCCTGTTGTTAAGATATTAAGGGAGAATATGAATGTGTTACTTTTATCTACTTTTATCTACTTTTACTCTTGATTCTGATATTCCCAAGCAAGGAACTTTTTTTAAACTTGAAAAGACCTTGCCTCAAACAAGCTTGTGATACGAGCTGTTCTTCAGAAAGGTTATCAAAATGTAAAGCTTTTGGTGCGTTAAAGCAGTTCACGCTGCACTGTACCAGTTACCCTTTCAGTGCTGGTCTAACTCAGACCTCTACAAGAAAACATTTAATGTGTGCTGCTAAGCTGTGTTGTTCATGTGAGAGCATTGTCTGCTGTTACTTATGTGCATGTAACAGTAGTTTTAAGGATTATGCAGAGAAAACCAGCAACTCTAAAGCCACTGTTTGTTGTTGTTGTTTTGTCAATGCAGTTAACAGCATTTTTTTCTTTCTTCTTCCACCTCCTGTTTTGCAGTTTCAGCTTCTTGCCTCAGCATTATTTAAGTCTGGCTCGGATTTCACCACTCTTGGTGAGTATTGTGTATCAGAGGAATCGCATGGAGAATGTTCCCTCTCCTGAAGATCATTACTGTTAGTTTCTTCTGTATGTTTTTTCTTTTTAATATCATGCTCTTATGAGTATCGTGAGCCTTTTTCAGTTTGAAAATGCATAGGCATTTGAAAGAGTATAATGACCAGTGCTCAATGCCTTGAGCCCATATTTAAAACATCTGTCACCAGTGCTTTTAAATCCATGCCTCTGGGGATCATTTTGTTTCTCTTATTACATCTCATGCGTTACTGTTGCCCAAATAAACAGAAGCTTTGGTCAGGATCTTGTCATGTCACTTTGGAATCTCACAGCATGGCTACGGCTCTGTTTGCTGGGATAATTGCAATTCCTGGAGTAGTTTAGTTCATTGTGTTCTTCGCAAAATGAGTCTTTTGGGCAGGATGTCAAGAGTGAAGAAAGCAGTGGCATGTAGGTCTGAAAACAGGAGGTCTGAGCCAAAGCCATAATTTGTTTTGCTATTCTATCCAGTTAACATGCTTTAAACAGTTCAGATATTAATCCTGGGCAAACTATAGGAAGACTGTTGGCATAATTTGTGTTCTTGTAACTTGTGTTGCCAGCCAGCTGCTGGGCTCTGGGAGTGGAGATCGTTTCAGTTTTGACAAACCATGTAAATCCCTATGGAAGAAATTGAGGGAAGGGTAAGGCCTGCATTACCTGCCCTGCTGGATGAAGAAGCATTGCTGACTTTGGGCAGTGCTACCTAGTTCATGCTGTTGTTTAAAATATGTTTTTTTTAAGGGAAGTAAATGCTAGTTTTCAGGGGAGTGTTTTTGATTTTGTTTTTCCCCTCCTAGTTTTCAGTCATCTAAAAGATGAGTTAGTTTTTCCCACATTAACACCACTGTGTTCTACAATACAGTGCTGTATTCAGAGATTGTCTTTAAAGATTGGAGGACGCATGCATCAAATGGTGCTGATAAAATAAAGCAGCAACCAACCCCCCCTTGGTTTGATTAACTTGGTTGACTTTGATTAACTGAAAAGTGAATTAAAAAACATTCCTTTGAGATACCAGTGGTTTAAGTAGTACAAAGCAGAGGAAATTGTTGTATGCCCACTCTATTGTTCTTGCTGTTGATGGTTTAAGTATGAGGATTTGGATAAACAATGCTGCTGGTAGAGTAAACCCTCCCCTGTCAGGAGGAGGCACTTCACAAAATGATTTTGCAGAGACCTCGTGCCAAGATGCAGGCTGGATCCACAGTGCAGCCCAGCAATTAAACAGCAGCTCTTAACTCGGGACTCCTACCATTAGTAGAGCTTGTCTCAAGAAAAACTATGAGCAGTGTGAGTACTGGTTCTGGCTAAGGCAGTCATGAGATAATGAGGGCCTGAGGACAGAAGAAATGAGACACCAAATAAAAATAGCTACATGAATCCTATTTTCTGGGACATCAGAGCAGTCCCCTGAGGACTTTTGCTTCCCTGGTTTCTTCAGGACTGTCCTCAGACTTGACAGCCGTTTGCCTACTACCTCTTATGGCATTTTGATTTCGGTGTTGGCTTGGAGTGACATGAACTTGATGTGCTTACATGCATACAGTAGTGGGATGAGAAGCTGGCAGCTCTGTTAGTACGATGCTGTAGATGTTAGCTGGGCTTTAGTCAGGGACAAAAATGCGGCAGATAATTAACTTCCATTTAGAATGGAAAGCCGGTTTATTCCACAGCTGAACTGAGCATTTAAAGTAGTAAGCACTGACTTGCTTTCCCTTTTTTTCTTCCCTCAGGATTTTCAGATGTTGATCACACTTACGCGCAGAGAACTCAGCTGTTTGACACATTAGTCAACTTCTTTCCGGACAACATGACCCCTCCTAAAGGCAACCTGGTAGACCTCATCACGCTGTAACAGAGCGATCACTGGACACGTGGAAGAGGGGAAAAGCATCCATTTTCAGTATTTTAATTTTTTTTTTACTGCATCGATTGACTGCTGGGATGAAGTAATATAGTAACCCCTAGGTGTTTGAAAGGGGTTTTATACTTGTATGGTGAATCCCTGAAGCTTTTCCCTTGGAGTAGGTTAATAAAAATGTAACTGACATACTTCTGACTAAATATATATATATTTTTTCTGACATTGAATTTTGATTTAGCAAATGTAAGGAGAAAAGAGAGGGGAGGAGAAGAAAATAAAACCCCATCGTGCAGTGATCGCTTTTCCCTCTAGAGGAAAATTGAAATTTGTGGGCTGTCTGGAATTAAAGATGATAGGTTTTATTTTGGATTTCATGGGAAAAGGGGTGGTGGTTCTTTGCTCATTTGTAGCTAGTCATGATGTATTGCTTTGTCCTACAAGTCCATCCTCAGCAGCTGAATAACTTGGCAGCAAGGCACTGGCGTGTGTTGAGGTAATAGTAATATATGTGTCTTGAGTCTTGTAATCGCAGGGTGTCATGTGAAGGGAGCATGTGTTACAAATTGTCTGTCTTCTCTTTTGAGAACCTGACTGGCAGCAGTGTCTGATTGCATTTGATATCTAGTCTAAACCTAAATGCCTAACTTCCGTTCTCTGGAGTCTTCCACTTAGACCTGACAGTCATGGGGGAGCCTCAGAGAAACTGTCAGAAAACGGGAGTGCAGGGGTTGTCTGCACGGGCTCCTTTTCAGGGATTGCTCTGTTTCCAGTGCCATGCTCTCCTGATGAAAAACTCTGCAGGTCCTCACAGCGCTCTGCAGGACTGGGTCTTCCACTCACACACCCAACCTCTGCAACCTGACTCCAGGTTGGGTATAGGATTTCCGAAGCAGATTGTCTTCGTTTACATACACCTATGCTTCTGTGTGCATTTGTCAGTGTGTAAATGTAAAGAGGTTTGCTCCAAACAGCTTGTCTTCTGTTTGTGTAGTGCAGTTTCTTTACTTTTAAATGCATTTTAGACCTTACTCTGAATGTGAAGGAGGCCTTTTTAGCATAAACTCCTTTAAAAAGCAAGCTGATGCATATGTATAGAAAATATATTCTTCTTTGCTGAAAGTCTTCTTTTAAATAAGGTAAGGGCTTGGTGCTGCACTATGAAGTGGAATGAAGGATACTCATACTGAGCATTAGCAGCTTTTTTGCGTTCAGTGTCAGTAAGCATTCAATACAAAACTGGCTGTTGTAAATCATATATGAACTGCAAAGCTTTATGTCCAGAAATGTTCGTGCCAGCAGGGTACCATTGCTGCACTCACTGCGGCTACACAGCTCCTGTTGAACTTGATGGAAGTCCTGTGTGTGTGTGTGCAAAGATGATTTGAGCTCTTGAAATAAAGAGTTAGTGAAGTGTCTTTTCCAGAGCTTGAGTGTCTGCTTGCTTTGATTGCATTGTATTGCATCTTTAATCATGTTCTTGAGCAACTTCCGTAGTTCTGGTATGTTAGAAATAAATTTTAAACCTCCATGCTGGTGATTAATCACCCAGAAAGGAACAGTGTGTTAGAGGTTGGGCTTTGCTGTGTCTTCAGGGAGGAGTATATAGATGCAGTGTTTTAAGTAACCTGTAACTTGAGACTGTTTAGAAATTGTATACTTCAGTGGTCAGCAAATCAGATGTCTGTGGAAGAATACGCAGTGCAGTAAATGAAATTTGATGAAATTGTTTCTTTGAAACATGGTACTTTTTTTCCAGTGACATGGAAAGTTTTTAGGTGACTGCTAGGTTTTATGCTATGTTTGCAATCGCTTTGTTAACTACTTAAAGTAGAGCCTATGCCATAGGAACAGAGATACTGGAGGTGCTAATCTGGGTGAGTTTTGCTAACTGAGGCACTGTTTCCATTGAGATTGAACTGGACACATCTCACACAACCAGCTAAAACACTGCAACCCTGCAGTACTTTTCAGTCTCTGCATAATCATGAACCCAAAACTAGATTGAGGAGCCGTGGTGAGTAGATGGTGGAAGTTCAGAAATGCTAAAGGCTGTGTGAACAGCGTTGCTGCTGAGCTGGTTTGTATTACAGAAATTCAGTCAAAACTCACTGTTCTCAGAGGTATGTGCAAATCCTGGCAGCCTAGCTCTCTTTCTGTAGCACAGAATAAATGAATTCCTTGTCTGAATTAGGCAAGCGTTGTTTCTATAGGATGGACAATCCCAGCTAATGAGAGCACTTCAGGATGATCAAATATTGGTCTACCTTTATCCTGAGCCGATCGATTTCAGCTCATACCAGCACAGTTTGTGGATTCCAGCTGGTGATTAACCAGCAGAAACTATTTGCTCAGCTTCTGGGTATTTGTTGAGCAGCAGAGGCACCCTGTGGCCACAGATGTTAATCTACAGTGAGGGCTTCTCATGGCTTTGCCTACGGTATTTCCTGGTTCTGTGTGCTTCTACTAAATGATTTCTTAGCATTGGTATATACTGCACTACCTTATTAAAAAAAATAAAAAAAAAATTAGAATTTTGGAATGGGGAAGTATTTAAAAAAAAAAAAAAAAAGACAGTTAAGGAGCAGGGAGAGTTTGAACATAATTACATGAAGATCTTCAAAGATACCGATTGTGTTCCAGGAAATGATAGGTGTGACCATTACAGAGATGCTGCAGTACAACAAGAAAAGAGACGCCTGAAAACTTTTTGCAGCACAGTGCATGCAACATCTCAAGTGTACATGAGCTATGGGAGAGTTTTTCAAGCCTCCCCTGTACTGCTTGCAGGCTGTAGCAGAGGCCAGTCACTTCTAGCATAAAGACACGCATGCTGTATTTGCCTTTATCATAGTGTGACTTTATGCAATTTTTATACAGTCTTTACAGTAATTTATTTCTAAACTGTGTTAAGCTGTAACGTTATTTTGAGGATCACCAAATTGTTCTTTATGTGAAGTTACTGCTATGAAGCAATATGATTTCCTTGAGAAATAAAACCCTTCAGGTTTGATTTGCCCACTTAGATTAGGCAAAATTGAGTTTGTTCATGCTTGCATTATATAGCCCCTCATGGTGATCACAAGGCAGAAGTCCTTCAGATTTCTTCAACATGACAAAAGAGCGCTGATATCATAACATGACTCAATCACGTTTTCATGTGTCAAGGGGCAGAAGGACTTAGGTGGTGGTGTTACCAATGAGGAGAGGACAGCCACCTCCTTGCCCTTCTATTAATTAGCATTGCTCCTGGGGTGATCTGAAAGCTGTTGCAAAGTGGTGTTGAAATGAGCTGTGGTTTTTCTCTTCTGGCTCTTTCAAGGATGATGATTGTAATGTGTAAGCATTCCTTCCTTTTGCTGAGTGTAATGAGGAAGGACAGCTTTTGTGTCACAGAAGTTCTGTTTGCTCTTTCTCCTGGCACCGTCCCATAGGTGTGGTTCACATAGTGATACTCAATCATGTGCATAAATGGGTTTTGGTTTTGCTTGCCCTGAATTGCTTTGGACACACACAGACTTGTTCTAGCTCAAGGGTCAAGAGGACTGATTTTTCAAAATAAGGGCACCACATTGCTAATTGATATGTGAAGTCCTGGTTGGAAAGATTTTTCTCTCAGAAGTATTTGCCTTGTGCAATTGCAGCTAGGCTGGAATTAGGGAGCTTTTCTGAAGAACACACTGCAGCTTATCTCTAAGAAGTCTGTACTGAAATAAGGATGGATAGGCTTAATTTAAACTGCTGAACTTTTTTGGTCATGAATTACACTAACAGAATCACAGAATGGCCATAGTTGGAAGGGACCTAGCCTGAAAATTAAATGATGGAGAAGTGTCAGTAAATGACTCACACCCACCTATTTGCAGGAATGCAGATTCCTTTCAGAGGTATGGGGCTAGTGGCAAGAGGTCACAACAGTTTCATCTGTGTTTTTCTTTCATGAGCAGCCACAAGTGTCAGGGTCTCCATTAGCTATTTCTTCTTCCAGAACAGACCCCTTCCAGGCATAGTGATTACCCTGGAAGAGTGTTTTCTGTGGGGTTTTGTGGAACAGCTGTTTTCTGAATCGTTTTCCTGATGTGTGCAAATTTTTAGAAGGGAGTTTCCGTTGTCACAGTGCTGTAGACCAATCTTGTCCTGCTGTGAAAACTTGCACTTGTGAATGCTGCAGGCAGTGAGCAATAAATTCAGAGCACTACTCTGAAAAACTCGAATCATCTTTTTTTTTTTTTTTTTTTTCCTAAGTTTGCTTTTACTGTAATAAAAGACACAACTGCACTTGTTTCAGATGCAGAAAGGTGGCAGGTAGCTGTAAAACTACAACTGTTCATCTCTTGGTGCCTTCTGTTTTTCAGGATTGAGAAGGACTTACCATAGAGCTATTGGACTTCAGTGCTCCTTCATCTCCGTACGTGTAGTGATTCTGTTGATGTAATGCTGTGCTGCTTTTGAGGAAAATGACAGAAAGTGTTACATATGCTTCTATCCAGAACCTTTATATTTAGAAGTGGAAAAATGTCTTGTGAAGCATTGATCCCTGCTGTGTGCTCTTTGAATTTTAGCTTATTAGTTATGGCTGGCTCCGAGTTAAAGAATCTTTGGCTGTTGTCAAGAGAAGCCCTGACAGCAAAACTAATTCATGTGCTTCTCTGGAAGTTCTTGAGCTGCTTTACAGCTGTAGTTGTCACAGAAACAGAGGTAGACCCACTTTAAAACAAATAATTACCACTGTTCTGATCAGGAGAAAGAACATAAGAAACAGAACAAAACATTAACAAATGAGCTTGGCCATGCTGCTTCTAAGTATGTGTGGAAATTTTGAGATGTCTTTTTTTGTGAAAGGGGGATTTAAGAGTAGCTACATGACTTGTTCTTGATACAGATTAATAGTAGTACTTGAGCTGTAAATGTTGTTGAAATGCAAATGTACTGTTAGTGTATCTAAATGCCTTTGGGTATGGTAGATATGATCATGATACCCCATCATGGGAAAGGCTATACTAGAAGTATTCAAGTTGTGGCAGCAATTTCAAGGCAAAATCACTGTTTTACTTAAAGGTTCCATTATAATGAGAACTTGAGTGGAAGAATTAAGTTTATTGCGCTGAAACCATAATAATAGTACATGGCTCAGTGCTTGGCTAAATTGATTCCACATGTTTTATTTGTAGGTAATGCATCTAAACCCAGCTTTAGCATGACTGTGCCAGCCAGCTAGTTACCTGCTTGTTGCCATTTGAAAGTGAGAATGAGAAATCATGATGGTTAATGTCAGCAGGTATGCTTTTGGCATTCTGGCAGAGGTCAAAGAACTCGATGGATTTCTGGGTTATCCATAAATGCCTTGGTTTTATATGTAAACCTCTGCAGACAGTAGTGGTCATGGGTTTGTATATGATGCCAGCTGTATGTCTTGAGTCTAGAGGTCTGCAAGGCAGCATCTACTGCAAGCATGGATCCTGAAGGTAACATTGCTGCTGTCTCCTTTGCTTTCATGTGTTTGAACTCCATTTGTCAATATGGTGAACTCCAAGTTCTTGCTGTGACCCAAATTGTGCCCTGCTTCTGAACATTTATAGCCACAGACTTGCAACATCTGTCAGTATATCACATTAGTACCTTGAAATCTGAATTTATACTTGGTAGAGACAAAGGTGTATGTTTGTCTCAGCCTCCAGCTGTTTGCTGTAAGGCAGCTCTGCCTTTACTGATGACCTGGAAAGTGTAAGTATTTGTGTGCTGTCAGAAATCGGTGTGTACAGCTCTAGTGTAGCATTGCAGTTCGTGTCTGAAAAATTGTGGTGATTGAAGAGCTCTACCAGGTTAGGTTTTGGTTTTGCTACTACTCTGGAAGAAAAATATCTGAATCACAATGTTTTCTCCTAGAACTGCTGTGATAAATGCTTTCCTCCTGTCTGAGCCTTGTTTATTTTGCATAGCAGCTGGAGTGTGATAGCTGTTTGACATAAGGAGAAGATGGTAGTAGCAAGTTCATCTCAATAATTCTTCTAGGTTTCTAGCACTCGCTTCTGTAATCCCAAATCCCTAACCAGTGTAGACAGACAGCAAGTAGTTGGTGTCTGATTTATTTCCATAGTGTAGGACAAAGAGACATGAGAAGTGGACTTGGGATGATGCCGTGATGATCATGTGATGTGCATTTCATGGAAAGACTTGACTCTTAAGTAGCTCAAAATTAGAGCAGATTTTCTTTATTCAGTCTGGATTCTCAAGTTCTTTTTCAAGTGGGGGTGATGCAAGACCAGGTTCCTCTAGTCCTGGAGCTTCATCTTGGGCCTTGGCCCTCTCTGTCTGTTACAGTTATCATAAAGATGAACACACGGGACATATCTTAAGGAAGATTTCCAGCCCCCTTTTTCAGTCTTTCCAACAATTGCAGAGAGGCCAATGAGGCTTG